AGAATACCCAGGTTACAATTTTATCGGGTTGATTATTGGTCCAAGAGGGAATACCCAAAAGAGGATGGAGAAGGAAACAGGTGCGAAGATTGTAATTCGGGGTAAAGGTTCGGTGAAGGAAGGTAGGTTTCAGCAGAAGGGGAATATGAAACCTGATCCTTCTGAGAACGAAGACTTGCATGTTTTGGTTGAGGCTGAAACCCAAGAATCACTTGATGCTGCTGCAGCAATGTTGGAAAAGCTCTTGCATCCTGTTGATGAAGTTTTGAACGAGCATAAGAGGCAACAGTTGAGGGAATTAGCTGCTTTGAATGGAACGATAAGAGATGAAGAGTATTGTAGGTTGTGCGGTGAGGTGGGTCATCGTCAGTATGCATGTCCTTCACGCACTTCTACTTTTAAGAGTGATGTTTTATGCAAGATTTGTGGTGATGGCGGCCATCCAACAATTGATTGTCCAATGAAAGGAACAACAGGGAAGAAAATGGATGATGAATACCTGAATTTCTTGGCCGAGTTAGGAGGTACGGTTCCTGATTCTGCGAGCAATGAAAACTCTTCATCTGTTACTTCTGGAAGCAATCCTCCTTGGGCTAGCAATAGTGGAAATGCACACCCTGGATTAGGGTTCAATGCTGTTAAGCCCTCCAAGGAATTTGATGATACTAATTTGTACATTGGATACTTACCTCCCAATCTCGATGACGATGGTTTGATCAGTTTGTTCTCATCTTATGGTGATATTGTGATGGCTAAGGTAATTAAGGACCGGGTTACAGGACTGAGTAAGGGGTATGGTTTTGTGAAGTATGCCAATGTTGACATGGCAAACAATGCCATTAAGGGTATGAATGGTTATCGCCTAGAAGGAAGAACCATTGCTGTGAGAGTTGCTGGCAAGCCGCCTCAACCTGCCGTGCCTCCTGGTCCTCCTACACCATCAGTGTCCACTGGCTTTGTTTCTAGTCAGCCAGTTGGTGGCTATCCATCACAGCAATTTGCAACTGGAGGTCCGCTTACTAATACTGCACCTACTAGTTATGCCGGGAATTCAGTTCCATGGGGACCACCAGTTCCTCCTCCCTATGCTCCTTATGCTCCTCCTCCACCTCCGCCTGGAGCAACCATGTATCCTCCTGTTGCAGGTCACCCTATGCCACCTTATGGCTTGCAATATCCCCCACATGTACAGCCTGTTCCCCCAGGTGTCCCACCTCCACCTGTGACTTGTAGCGAAATGCCACAGAATTTCCCACCTGGAGTGCAATCTGAAAACAATACTTCTGCCCCTGCTGTTTCTACAAATATATATGGGAACTCAATGACTGCAATACCGCCTAATTCACAAACATCATACCCAACATCTTCGTTAGGTTACTCTTCTTATTACAGTACAGTTCCTCCTCCGCCCCTTCCTCCAGTACCTACATCTTTTGCAGATCATTCCCAGAGCATTGGTAATGTGCCTTGGGTGCCGAACCCTCCTTTGCCTCCTGCAGTCTCATCTGCTGGGAATGCAACCTATGGTGCAGATGCTGAGTATGAGAAGTTCATGGCTGAGATGAAGTGATGCAGATACTCCATTTAATATTTTATGCCAAGGTAATGAGTTAGACATGTTTGTTTATTCTATGACCATATGCTGTTTTCCTAGTTTTTGGTTTCATTTTTGATAAACCACCACTTTACAGTGTGAAGATCCTTTGCAGTGCGACATATGGTTCTGGTTATGATCATATAATTCAAATACTTATTTGAAAAGCAGCTTTTTTTGGTTGCTGCCTGTTAGATTTGGGATACTAATAAAAAAATTAAGCGACACAATGTCGTTTCTAATCTTCTCCTTTATGTGAAAGGAATGCAAATGTTTATATATAATATAGGGTCAAGGCCTTGAAAAGGATAGGAAGTTCAAGTTACTATTAAGAGTAACTTTTCTTTTAATTTTTGGTATTTCATATATCGAAGAAGAAACTGATCTAAAATCAGCACATGATCAGGGTTAATAAGAGTTTTTGACCGATTGTTTCTTAAGTCCATTTTTTGCACCATTAACTTTGCATTTTTTCCATCTGACTCTTTATCTTGGTAGTCTCAGTTGACTTTTATATATTTGAGAAGGAAAAAATTGTTCAACAAAGTCTTCTTATGTCTTAAAATTGAATGAAAGTTGTGTGAATTCTTGCAATACATCAGGGTTTCACTTGTTTATTTTCTATTGCTTCATTATGCCATTAAAAGAAGTCTGATAATCTTTTGTATTTGGGACATGATTAAGATCATAATTATGCAACATTATAGTGTGGTGATGGATTTGATGATGCTTGGATCCCGTGGTATATTTTCCCTATGAGAAAATTCCCTTTATGTTTTTGGGTTTCTCATATGAATCTACCAACTTTATCTGCCAAGTTTGTTGTTTTTATTTTACGTTTATGTTTCTTAACCCTTTCCCTGTTATCATTGTAAAATTTTACAGGACTGATGTTTCTTGGAGCTGAACTTGATTTCTTACCTCTTGTCATAACCTTGTTGGAAGTTTGGAACTCACATCTTTAACCTTCCTGTACTGTTATGAACTTTGCAGATACTTGGCTAAAGTTGATGAAGTCGCATACATTCTGGAAAATGCTGTTCAAATTTTTCTAGCATTAAATATTCAGTGGTGTGTTGGAATAAGTTTTTGCTTTCGGTGAATGCTTATTGGTTTCTGTTTATGTCTGATAACTAATGTCCTACAATGGGTTCATTTCTCATACATTTCCAGCAGCTGGTTCTTGACAATTTTTGTTTTTCTGTTTTATTTCTAAGGCGTATTGGTTAACAGCTTTGCTAATATTTCCTGGTTATAAGGCCTGCTTTATTTGTGAGGATAGTAAGACTTGCCTCAAGCTTCCCTGTGATCCCCGTGTTGTTTCCATCAGTTGAAGGCTTAAATTTGGACGCCACGGGGGGTATGCGGATCGTCTCTAAATTATACATCTTTTTAGACGTTTATGATAATAATATATTTTCCCAGTTCGGTTTGGCAGGTGGTTATGCTAATATATTTTTCCAGGAGTTTGGCAGGTGAAAGAAACCGTTGATGTCATCGGGTATTCTGTTTGTTTGTTTGTTTTTCTTTTGTGGGTCATGAATTTAGGAAATAGCTTCCATGATTGCTGCAGTTATTACCAGAAATGAATCAGTCAAGGTTGCTCCTGCCGAGTTTGGTTGTTGTTTTCATCAGTATAGGGAGTGCATGTGCATGTGCATGTCAAACGTATAAGAAAGTGCATTGTTTTGATGCGATTTGAAGGGGATTGATCTTGTGCTTACATTTAGATTGTTTTGATGATAGAAAATAACGTGATGCCTTGAATCATTAACAAAGCAACAATTAGATGGAGGATCTCTCTTTGGACACATGAATAATCCCATTTTGCTTTAAAAGTGTATAAACTGAACTCTTCTCTGTTGGAAACGAAAGATGGTTACATCTTCAGTTATGCTTTTCGTCTGTGATGTTGGTACTCAATCTTAACTCCTTTTAGTAACTTAACATTTGGATTGTTTATAGTTTGGTCCTTTTATTATTAAATAATTAATGATCTCATGATAAAAGACCTTTTTAGAAGAAGAAAAAATTAAAGGTCTGAATTCTTCAATTGTTGTGAATGGGGATGTCATTCGGGCGGCGTTTAATTCTTATTTTTCTCACAGCATTTACTTAATACTTGTTATATCATGACCTTTTAATATAGTTATAGATATCAGTTAAATGTGTGTGTGTATATATATATATATATATATATATTATTTTATAAAGAAGTAATTAAAGTCCTTTGAATTTCATTATATGTGATATTATTCTAATTTATGATTTTAAAAAAAATAAAGAATCGAAACATATGATCAATAATAAAAGCGAGATTAACATTTTCATAGAAGTTTTGGGTTTAAGCAATGTTGTTTTATAGTGTGAATGAGTTGTCAATAGGTTAAAAAATATTTATAATGATATTATCTTGTAATCACATTCTAATAATAATATAATAAGGCTAAATTATAAATTTGGTAATTGAACTTTAATCTCTGTCTTATTTTACTCATTGCACTTTAAATCTTTTTAATTTCCTCATTAAACTTAATATGTTGTGTTTTTGGTTATTTAATCGTTTTCTCACTAACGATGTTATAAATGAGTTTTTATATAGATGTAAAACGATGTCGTTTTGGTGAAAATTTTATTTTTTTTAAATGACATTATTTTAATGCCGTTAAATATTTAATGATGGAGTGACAAAAAAATCCAATGTATTAAGTTTAGTGAGAAAATTAAAAACTTTAAAAGTGCTCTGAGCAAAATAGGAGAGGATAAAATTTAATGACGGAATTTGTAAATTACTCTAATAATAATAATAAATCGTTGTAATCCTAATAAATTAAAATATAACTCTAGCACAAATTCAAAAATTTTAGAAAATAATTTTCTATCTAATATTCAAATACAACATTAGTATAAAAGTTTTAGAAATCAATCAATACAAGTGTTAAGCTTTATTAATATATTTTTTAGGTATGTTAGATGGATGAGGATGATGTGAGACAAGTACATGGTCATATTCATGTTTGTCATATCACCTGACAGATCTAATTTTTATCCCATCTTCGTTTCACCATCACGAAACTTGTAGCCATCCTTGTCCAATTAGGTGCGAGGAGGTGTGGGTCTATATAAAGCCCACCATTGACATCCTTGTAAATCCTCCAAAAATCATCTTAAAACTTAGGTTTTTAGATTTTCTTCAAATTTTTGACGGTGAGATATCTTTCTCTCAAATCTTACTGGTAAAAGGGAGTGGAAGGAGAAGAGTTATATATCTTGATTTTATGTTGATCATATGACAATGATTATAGATTAAAATTATTCATTTTCTTTAATTTTGAGTTGAACTTTATGAGTTTTAAAGAGATTAAAAAAAAACTAAATTGATAGCCATATGGGAAGAAAAGACAAGTTCATCAATATTCTGATTCATCGAAGAAGATATAAAAAAATGACAATAAAAACAAAAAAGAAAAAACACGTGGCTTTCAAGCCAATAAAATAATCCATATTAACATAAAATCGTTTATGTCATCTTGTTTTTTTATTTAATGTATTAAAAATTTTAAAATTGAGTGACCAAAACATAAATATGAAAAATTTTGAGTGATGAAATGTGGTTTACCCCATATTTTTGGGCTAGGAGGGTCAAGAAAAAGTGATTAATGGGGATGTAATGTAAATGACTCGAATTGAATTGCCCATGGTTAAGCATGAATTGCAGTAATAAGTAAATAAATGTGACAAACCGTATCGTAACACGTCTTGGACGTTTCAAGGTCCGTACGAAAATCTCCTCACTTGTGCATTCCAGAATCTTTTAGGGCTAGGAGGCGCTCTCTGCCTTCACTTTCGGAAAAAACAAAGGACTGACATATGTTCTTCAGCTGCTACTAACGCACCAGCCCGGAAAATCAGGGAAGGATACAGAGGACCATGGGTAAGATTTTGCTTTCTTCATGTGTGTGAATTGCGTTTGTCTCCGATAGACCGACACCGTTTGTTCGGTTGAATGGCATCGCAGGACTACCGTACTTACTATCCGATTACCCTTCCTATGAGGAGACCTTATTCAGGCGACCCTGGTAAGCTCTGGATTAGTATTGTCCATGGAAGTATTAGCATATGCTTCTGGTCGTTTGAACTGATTTGAACATTTTAACTTGTAGAACTTCTTGATAAGGCAGAATTTGGATAAGGAATAGGATGAGGGAACTATTAATCCTGCTAAAGATCTCGGCCTATTGGTTCGTGTCCATGCTAATACGTTCTCGGTCACGTAAAATTTGACATATGTAAGAAAAATTATCTAAAATAACCATCTTTGGTGACAGGATGAAGCTGAGAAAGAAAAGATGTTTTTCTTTTAGCTTCCTGTTAATCTCCCTTTACCTAAGCAATCGGCTAGCAGAAAGGGAAAAGAGAAAGTTGAGAAGTCGGTCTCATTGGAAAGGGCGGTTGGTTTAACGAAAGGCCAGCAGTTGGAGGAATTGCCGGCGGGACACGTGGGGAAAATGCTGGTTTACAAGGGCGGAGCAGTCAAGTTGAAGCTGGGAGAAACACTGTTCGATGTAAGTCATAATTGCCCCTTGCTTGTTACTTGCACAAACATACCTGTAACTGTTAGATATATTCGTTTGAGACATTGCAAACATCGGACATGAACCTAAAAAACTTTGATCCACCCAACTCAACGATCTGAACTCGTTCAAAATGAACAAGAAATGACTCAAACTCGAACCAATCTGAATTCAAAATGGTTAGGAAAGGTAACCTGAAATGATCCAAACCAGGATGACACAACATGAAACGACCCGAATCGAAGAACTTGAATAACCCAAGCCCAAAATAGGAAGACCCGGGTTTTCAAAAGGAAAATTCAAGTTGAACCGAGTCGACGAATCAAATTTTCCAATTTGCATGGTGTTGGAATTTCATAGGTTATGAATGCAGGGTACGAGTGGTGTGTTCGCCCAGGATGTTGCGTCATTGGCGAGCTTGCTCAGAAGGCTGTTGTCACTCCCGAGACTAGTATTTTCTAGGATGTAATATATGTAAAAAAAAATTAGATGTTCTGTACTATCTAATACTTTGTTTTTGGATTTATTGAACAATTATTGGAATGGAATATCTACTATTCCAAATAGTTCCTCTTGTATATGATTATATATTTGATTCCACAAATTAATAAATGCTAATCATCAAGGATATTTATCTTGAAGATTATCTCGTTAAAAGAAGACCCTAATGAAATGTTAAATTCTTGTTACAATTATATTTCATCAAATTTTGAAATTATCTCGTTAATTATCGCAACAAAATAACATTGTTTCTTTTTTTAAAATGAAAAATATTGCATTATTTTTGAAATATCTGAAACAAAAAAATGAGTTAGTAAGAATAATAACAATAAATAATAAGTAACAATAGTAAATAATTAAATAAACATGCCGAGGGCTAAATTGTAAAGACTGAAAATTAAAAGGGTTATATGACAAAAGAAACATACAAATTAAACTAAATTAAATTACAGTCAAAAGAGGAGGGACCAACAATCAATAGGAGAAACTGAAGCATTGGATCCGTTTGTAGAAGCCACAAGCAAATGGAAAGAATGCAACAAAATCGAGAAAACCGAAAAACCGACACGAACCGAGTAAAACGGTTCGGTTCGGTTTGGTTTTAAACGGTTCGGTTTTCGGTTCGGTTTAAAGGCTTCATTTTTTTGATTCGGTTCGGTTCGGGTTTTCCATATGGAACCCATTTGTTCCATATTGAACCGAATAGACAATTTTTGTAAAAAAAATTATTGTTTCAAGTGATTTTTTTATTGAAAAACCGATAAACCAAACCGAACCGAAAAACCCGAACCGTTAAAAAAACCGAACCGAACCGAAAAAACCGGTTTCGGTTTTTTCGGTTTTTTAACTATTCGGTTTCGGTTTCGGTTTAAATATTGAAAACCCGTTTATTTCGGTTCGATTCAATTTTTGGTAAAAAACCGAACCGAACCGAACCGAATACACCCCTAGGAAAGAAGGGTTGAGTCTCGACATGGACCAAGAGGAAATCGACGAGTGTTTTGGCTTATAACTCTTTAGCACATTATGAGTAGGGTTGTAAATGAGACGAGACAGATCGTGAGCTACTCGAGATCGACTCGATCAAGACTCGATAAATACTCGAATCGAAAGTTCTTAACGAGGCGAAACGAACTATTCGATATTCGACTCGAAAAGCTCGTGAGCAGCTCGAAAATATAATATATTAAGATTTTATTTTTTTAAAAAAAATTATTAATAATATTAATATTTATGAATTATTTTTTTAAAATACAGTAAGATTTTCATGTATTTAAGGTTCATGTTCGAGTTTGAGGTTTTAATCGAATTAAGTTTAAGAATTTTTTTTTTCATTTCGAGCCTTTTCGAACTGCTCACGAACTTCAGTTAAGGATTTCGAGTTCGAGTCCAGCTTAAAAATTTTAAGCTCGCGAGTTTTCGAGTCGAGTCGAGCTATATTTCAGAGTTTTCGAGTAGAGTCGAGCTCAGCAATACTCGAGCTCGACTCAGCTCGTTTACACCCCTAATATTTATGAGGAGAGTTTTAAATTCGATTTGGGTAAATTACAAATTTGGCAACTTAACTTTACTATTTCTTCTATTTCATTCACTGTACTTTAAATCTGTTCAATTTCCTCACTGAATTTAATACATTGAGTTTTTTTGTCACTCGGTCGTTTGGTTTTATAAATTATTGGATATTTTCATTTTTTTAGAAAATAGAAAACATCGAAGAAAACATGTTTGGTTGTAAAATTAGAAAATGATTTCTAGAAAATGAGAACAAAAATAAGTGGGAATATGAAAACATCAAAAAGATGTTCTCAATATTTTCATTAAAACTGTTTTGAAAATTTAAAAGATAAGGAAACATGAGATCTAGATTTTTAACTTAATTTACCCAAGTTTAAATCATTCTAACAATAATTTTGTATTTAATGATATTTGAATTCCTCAAACTTTTAAAAAAATCAATATGGTCCCTAAACCTTTTTTACACTCAATGTAGTCCTTAAATTAAATTTTTTTAATAATTTAATTTTGTAGTATTCTTATATTTAATGTATTGAATATCTTAATATATGTTTATATTTTATATTTTTAATATAAATAAATTTTTAATTTTTTAAATTAAATAAGTCCTCAAACTGTTTAATAATCAATTAAATCCATCTACGACATCATCGTCCATCGAGTACTACCACAACAGTATCATGAACTGTTACGTCAAAAACTGTAGATTGCCATGTAAGTTTATGAACTATCATGTAAGTGACGTGACTGTACACGTTTGATCCCTCTATTTAAAGGGTTTTTTTTCTAATTTTAAGGATCATATTTGGTGCAAAAAAAAAATGTTCAAGAACTACAATAATTATTTGTTCTAAAAAATTTGAGTGTGTCAATTATCACTAAACATATTTTAATGTTAATGACACTTTTTTGTGCTATTGCTTATAAGAAACTTTTGTGTTTTTTTAAAATTTAATTGATGTCCAATATGAATTAACATTATATTTTTATTATAAACTAAAATAAATTGTGTTACGAAATTTGTTATCAATTTTATTGTTTTATATTTATATAATTCATATGTTAAATTTATGTAATGAATTTTCTAATAATTATAGTTTAATTTAATTATTTAATAACTATTTGTTTATTTCTATTTTCTAATAATTATAGTTTTTCGTTTATATTAACGAAACATGTTTTCTAATTCTAAAAAAGTTAAAAATGAAAACTATTTTCTAAAAAAACAAAAAACAAAAATAAATAAAAATTCTAGAACCAAAGGATTAGGCCTGTAAACGAACTGAACGCACACGAACGGAGGCATGTTCATGTTCATTCATTTAATAAATAAACGAACACGAACACGAACATAAACAAACAAAATTGTTTTTGTTCATGTTCGTTCATTAAGGAATATAACTTGTTCATGTCCGTTCATTTAATAAATAAACAAACATAAACGCACACGAACATAAACGAATACGAACATAAATGAACACGAACATAAACGTTGGAGACCCTACATTCTATTGTTCTTTCATGAAAAATAGTCGACAATGCAATCTACAGTGATAAATAACGTAAGAGTTGATTAGCAGTGATGAAATGTTTGAAGATATCAAATATTTCAATCGATCTTTTAAAGATATTAAATGATTCACACGACTTTAATTTAACGCTATAACATTTATCTTAGTGATCCATGATTACATATGAACAATCATTTTCCACTACGTTATTCTAATAAATTCGCCGACTAAAAGTTTTGTGACATCAATGTCAGACTTTAGTGATGTTTGTTAATAATGGTTCTTTCCGTTGGCAGAGTAGAAAATTTAACAACATGAAGACTTCGAACGGTACAAATTGGACAAGGCAATAACATAGATCTGAAATCCCTCCGATGCTACATATCGTAACTGATATTATTGACGTACCTATAGTCTACTCCACAACTAAAGGTTACACAAGAACTATGAAAACAAAAGTTCATTGTCAAAATGTATTTTCTACTTATTAATGGGTTTTTCTTGGAAAACTCATTACTTCCGCTATTACACTCTTTTTCAGAAATTGCATAGAAACCTTTGTTTTGTTTTCTGGCAAATTCTATATATTTTTCTCTTTACTGATGCTCATATACGAACATCAATTAATATTTTTAAGATACTTACAAATTGGTCACCAAAATTGATTTAAGAAGATTGGGTTTAAATGAACGAACATAAACGAACATAACCGAACGAACATAAACAAACATAACCGAACGAATATAATCGAAAATTCACGAACGTAAATGAACGAACGAGACATATGTTCATGTTCGTTCATTTAATTAAACGAACATAAAATCTTGTTCATGTTCGTTCATTTAATAAATAAACGCACATAAATGAACTTCCCGCCGCACGGTTCATGAACGGTTCGCTGAACGTTCAGTTCATTTACAGGCCTACAAAGGATCCAATCTTGGTTTTAAATTTGATTTGGGTAAATTACAAATTTGGCGACTTAACTTTACTCTTTCTCCTATTCCACTCAATGTACTTTAAATCTTTTCAATTTTCTCACTGAACTTAATATATTGAGTTTTTTTTGTCACTAAATCGTTTCCTCACTAATGGAGTCATGACGTGACTTTTTTGTTGTTAACAGATGAGTGACCAGTAAGAGAATGGCAGAGACCATGTCGACGGTAGTGGTTGTAGTCGAAAAGGACGGTGGCAGCAAGTTAAGGTTAGAATTTAGGAATTTTATGGTTTTTTTATAATTTAAGAGAAATTAGGTTTTTTTTATAAATATAATAATATTTTTTAAAAAATAAATTTTAAAATTACCAGATCATGACACGTGTCACTTAACAAAAGAAATTAACATTGTTGACAATCCAAACACTTAAAATGATAACGTTTGTACATTAAACACCAAGATCATTTAAAAAATAATTTATACATTTATTCGTGAAATATATTATAGTTTAAACACTTATCTTATAATTAAGCCTTCATGTAATTAATGAGTATATGAAAGTCATTATGTTCTATATATATTTGTCCTATGTTGGTTAAAATGGAAGATATGTTTGTCCAATTATATTCATTGAAAACCCAATTTGCCAACTAAACCCAAATTAATAATTTTCAACAGAAAAATAAAATTTTACTCAAATTTTAGGTTAAATGAGAACATAACCTTTAAGAATCTCACAAAAATTA